CTATCTCACATAAACACTCCTAACACATATTCCAACACTATTTACTCCAAGGACAATGTAGGAAAAAAATAATTAATTCATTCTTGAAATCTGGAAAAATCACTTATTTTGGACCACAAGAAAAAGGCCAAAAAATCACTTATTTTGGACCGGAGGGAGTAATAGTTAGGAAGCAAAGTACAGCTAACTAAACTGAGAAAGGATTTATTGCATAACTATTTTATTTATATAAAAGCAACAGTTAAAAGATTATACCTCGTTAAAAATAAGGTTAAGTTTTTTAGCGTGTACTGACATAGACGGAAAAGTCACTACTCACTAGGAATAGTAAATTTCACCTGCAAGTGCACAAAGATGTTCCAGAGCAATGAAATGGTGAGCTCCTTGTCTCCATCAACGATGTCTTCTGCCATTATGATTGTTCCATCTTGATCACACAATGGGACACCTGCCTCCCTGAGAAATTGTAGAACTGTGCCACAGTTCCCCAGACTCTTCTTGCGAGTATCTGAGGGAACTACCATTTTCTGACATAGAACAGTTCACAAGCCTTATGTTTCCAATTGTGACAGCTTCTGTAGAAATGGGAACCAATCTAACACATACGAAAGGAAAGGAAGGAAAGACGATCATTTATAAGCTAACCGAGAGGATAGAAGGATCATGTTGCAAGAGTTGAATGGCTCTGCAAAGTCGAATGCCATCCTGAAGGTCCTTAAATAAATCAGCCACACCAAAGTGATACTCAAGCAAAGGATTCTGCACCAGACAATATCAGTTGGCCACAATAATCAGAGACCTATACTGCAACACATATGAATGATGTCAACCGTGCCGTAAAAGTAAACAGACGACAAGAGCGCTCGCTAACCAAGAGACAACCCCATATTTAAACGAGGGCTCAACTCGGTCCAACTTAAACATGAGACAACCCGGTAACCAGAAAAAGTCAACCATGTAGTAAAAGCATTTACACTTGCAAACTAAGATCATTAATCGACATGCTTACCTGTTGATATGTCACTTTATAGCCTACGATGACAAGATGCGCAAGTAGATTGCCTTCACCATGCATCACATCGGATGATAAGAACTCTAACATGTTTTTAAGATAGGGAAATGTTAATACACTAGTTATAATAGAAAGGTCTTGTAAACAAGCTACACAAGAAAAATATGAAGAGTAAACAAGCAATTACTGTTGATCAGTTGACGGCTAGATTTAGCATCTGATTGCAAAGAGAACAAAAGAGGAGATCCACCATCTTGTGCGTCAATACCATATTTAAGTGGCAGACTACTCTGAGTTTTGACTCTATCTAGTATGAGAACAAGCAACAAAAATCTCTTCAAGACAATATTGCCTAACTTTTCATAGTAACCAGGTCTATATAAACCCTCCACTAACTTGTTATAAGCATAGGTCTTTGCTAGACCAACATGTGAGAAAAACTGCTTATCAAGCACCATCCTCAAGAAGGCAATTTCTTGTTCGGAATTGACATCTCCATTTGGTAACAAGGTGTCGCCCCCCAAGAGTATGTACAATCCAATCCGAAGCCAAACGGGGTTATAACACATAAGAGTTCTCAAGGATTTCTCCTTCATTCCAACATCAGTTACCATGGGACAATGAGCTCTCATTTTCAGGCGTCCTTCATCAATGGTCTGAAAAGATAACCAAAGCAGGAGAAATTTAACAAATGACCATAATTCAAACCATGATAAAGTAGGCATATATTTTATTTTGTGGTACTAATATTTATTGGTTGAATCATGGTATTGATACCTAAAGCATGCACAGTCGCACTTTTACAGTTCTCAGTGCACTAATTACACTTGTGGCTCAAAGAATTGTTAAACAAGTTGTGAAGCTTCAGATTACTTTAGATCGGTGCCTAAGATCTTGATTCCGATATAAAACACGCTATCATCTCCTTGAGTAAATATTAGCAGTAGAGTAACTTAGAAAAAGCATCATCAACTCAATCAATCAATTAAGAATCATTAGTTCTTTTCAACCTAATTCATTCGAATATAAAACAATTTGCCTTTTGAGAGAAATAAGGGCTCTCTGAGACAAGAGGTTCTCGTAGTTGGACCATTTCTTTAGTTTCAATCTACCACAACCCTCATCATTTAATCAAGCTTGAGACCAATCATTCTTTGTGAAGGCAGAGTTCCATCAGCAAGCATCTCATATTTTTTTAAAAACAGATTAAGATTCGATCATTCATCAGAAAACGGCTTTCCAAAGTGATTCAATTGTGAATTTAGCATCTCCATATGTTACCTTTGTTACTTGAGTCATTGTAACAAAAACCTCTTTACAGCTTCCCAAGCTGAGGTAACCACTCATCCTCTCCTTTAAATCATCAAAGCTGCAAATGTCAGTCAACGAAGCTTTAAGTCTCGAAAACATGGAATCTGAAAATGCTGTTGTCCCTTCATCTTCAAAATTTGAGGATAAATGCCTCTGCCTCTTGGGCCCCCGCCACAGCACATCAACTCCAACAGTGTTGTTCCCTGCCCCACTTTCCCTCCTCTTCCCATTTCCTGCAACATACGGCAGCCGATTGGACGTCTCAAATCCTCCAGTGAAACTCGAGACATCGCAGCCACAAGAGCTAGGGTTTTCAAACAAGAAATTCAGCCACACGGTAAGCGACTTCGCGAGTGATTTCAACGATCTCTCTTTGTTAATCAACGCCTTTCGTGCTGATTTCGCTTGCTCGAGCTCGAACGCCTTTAATCTTCGAGCAGCAGCACTCGACTTCACCGCCGACGGCTTCATGCTTCCACGACGGTTCACGGAGGATACCGGCGTGGTTTTCAAGGCGGTGAAGAACTCCGGCTGGCGCTGAACCGGTGTAGGAGAAGGAGAACTGAACTTTGCTGCATATCGTGAAGGCTTTGGAGTTTTGAAATTGGAGATTTCTTTAAATGGGAGGTCCTGGAAGGGTGATGGGGTGCATGAAGTTTGTGACGCTTTTTTCTGTTCCATTTTCCGGTCAGATTCCGATCGATTTGTCTGAAACTGAGAAAATGGTGAACTTTTTTATCTTTACCGTTTTAATTTGAATGTGGAGATAGGCGGGGGGTTTTTTATGTAGTTAAATTTTGAATTGTCCTCGGGTTCTCGGGCCTTCAGCCTGGCCCCTTTCCAGTTCACTCCAAAGGGAAAGCAATCCAGAAAAAGTAAGCTCCTTAATAAAGGTAAAAATAAATAGGCAGTTACGATATTATATGCAAAATAGATGATATAGATTGGTTTATTTCAAATCTAATGATTTTTTTTTTCCATTTCAAATTTGAAAAAATGTGAGTAATAAAGAAGTACAATCGAATGGGAAATTCTTTAGGTTTAAGTTATATACACGATAGTGTAATATTCTTTAACAAAATTAGTGTAATTTTAGGTTTAAGTTATATACGCGATAGTGTAATAGTATGTTTTAACAAAACTGGTGTAATTTAATGTATTATAGTAAGTTTATTATCACGTTATCAATTAACAATTGTAACAGATAGTTAAATAATTATCTTATAGGTGAAGTATTGCACAAAAATTTCTTATTTAGTTTGTGCACAAAGATTGTCATACTATTTTATTTAGAAATAATTTAACTTTAAATTTCTTGTTATCTTAATGAGATGATTTTTGGCCACATAGACTCTGGTAGAAACTAAGGGTCCAAACTATATAGAGAACCATGTTCTCTATTAGTTCCCACAAAACGCACACACACAGCAGTAAATAAATGACACAATGGAGTTTTACGTGAAAAACTCTCAGCTCACGAGATTAAAAACCACGACCTACCCTCGTAGGATTTCAACTTCACTACTGAGCGAACTTCAGATTACAACCTATTGTAACCTAGGAATTAACCTCTTAATCACTCACTAACTTGTAACAACTCTATTACAAGCCCCTTTGAAATAATTCTATTACAAAGCTTACAACTCGACTAACTCTAGCCAAGACACAAACTCAAGGTTTATGGTTTTACAAAAGGTTTCCTACACATGCTTCTAACTAAGTTAAGTAGGAATTACAAGTAAATCACTTTAACAAAGGGGCAACACAACTAAGGACATATGATGACTCAATACAGGAAACTGGTCCTTCGTTATGTTGTTCTTTGTTCGTGATGCCCTTGAAAGTCACTTGCCAGATTGACACACACTTGAGAGAAAGCTTGATGATTTTCTAGGATGTGCAAGTGTGATATTTTTTCCTTTGCTTCATGTTAATATTACATAAGTGACATCGCTATGCAAGCATGTTTGGTACAAGGGCATTCCCCATAAAGTGACTGTTGCACTGTTTGCACTATTTGCACTGTTGCGTGTGCAGAGAAACAGTTGCAGCGACTTTACAGTTGTTGGGGTTGATTGGTACAGTCAGCAAGGTAACTGATGTCCATCTATTGTTTCTTTGACTCTGAAATATTCAACCATGCCCCCGACTTGAGGCTTGTTGTTCTTGAGTACTTGAGGATGTGGAACAGGTTCCCCATCTGGTTCTTAAGGCTTGTTGTTCTTGAGTACTTGAGGATGTGGAACAGGTTCCCCATCTGGTTCTTAACAGTAAGTTTGTTAGATCATCAAAACATAACAGGATGCATAACCTATTAATTTTCCTCTTTTTGATGATGACAAACTCGTAATTGAAGTTCCCCCTGAGAATCAGAGTAACGTACATATTTCCTGTATTCCCCCTGAATCTGTTCCCTCTCTTGTTTCCCCTCAATTAATTTTCCCCCTTTTGGCATCATAAAAAGATCAGTAGCAAGCAACAAGCAACAAGCAAAAAGAAGTCTAGCTTGGTTAACTCATGCCACATGTGTGCACGCAAACATGACTAAAAACATAGCAGAAGAGCAAGGCATGCATAGCAAAAGGACGGAATATTCATCAATTTTAGAAATAAACAGGGAGCAGTTTAGTTGTTACGTAATCATCCACAAAATAAAACAACAAAAAGGTACCGGCGATTAAAACATATCTAAACACAGGAAACCAAAACAGAGAATAGACAACTTGAACTTGACACTGGGAAGGAACGACTTTAAGGAGCACTAGAAGGGGGAGCATTTGAAGCAGAGAAATAAGCAAGGGTTCTAAAGAAGATGCCTATTCGAGCATTTGCTGACACCTGCTTGTTAAGCAACCTCTCCTTCAGGTCCTCAACCTGTTTCCGGAGATCAGCATTTTCCTTGGTCAGACAGGCAACCTTTGTACCTTGTGAACTGCTAGAACCAGGTGCCTCCTGGACCTGACCTTCGAGAATGGTGTATACGGTTAAAACCGGGCCCACCCGATTTTACTGATTGACCGAGACCAAGGGGATGGATCGAGGATCAATCCCATAGCACATCTGGCCGAGATATAAGGATAAGGGACCAAGTTCAGTATTCGAGGTACCTAGCAAGATCGAAACCAGTAATGATCGAGGTAGAACGGACTGACATCGAGCAAGACCGAAGATAGCATAATAACGGAAAGGAGAGATATCTGTGACTTGTCGAAGATCATGGCGGAAATCTTGGAACAAATCAAATCAAGGGCGGTTGTGTAGCTAATCATGGGGTTTACTTCTGTAATTAGAATTGTACCATAGATAGGATTCCTCTGCTATATAAAGAGGGTTCTAATCATTTGTTAACCACCTTACATTCACTTACATCAAAGCAATACAATACTTTTTTTTTTCTTATATTCTCTTGTTGATCAGTTTATTTGATAATTCTACTCTCATGTACTCAGTTCGAAGGCGACGTAGCTCGAGGGCTGAATTGCATTTCAATCCTGGTTTTCTTTATTTTATTTCTTATTTACAATATTAATCATCATATTCATCAATTGGAACTAGGTGAAATTACGTATCCTTAAAACCACTTTTAAGTTTAATTGTTATCCAATTTTAAGGGTAAACAATTTGGCGCCCACCTTGGGGTAAGGATAATAGTGATTTCCTAGTGTAATTTTCGTAATACACATTATTTTACACTTGTTCTTTGAAGTGTCTTTGATTCCAGGATCAATATGTCATACTCTCAAGTAGCACCCACACACACAAATGATGGCCTTGGTCTCCATGGCAAGAACGATAACATAGCCTCCCCAGGGAACGGAGTACCTCCAGTCAACCTCGATGGGGCTCCGACCGTGGATACGATCGACGTCAGTTCTCACACTGCCATTAATGGAAATTTGGGCGTCGACCCTGAAAATAGCGTCCGCAGAGGTGCTCGAACAGCAGATCCAAATGCCCAGGACGGCGAAGAAGGTGGTATTAACCTTTGAATGATATTCGAAATCTTGCAGACCCAACAACCTGCAATAGCACAGCTCAAAATCAGAATCGTGCACCAAGCAGGATCGAGATCGAGCCATCGCAAGAAATTGTTCATAGTGCCGAGTCGGTGACAAAGAGGTCGAATGGAGGAGAACCAGAGACCAATCCTGCTATCGTAAAGATGCTCGAGGAACTAAGCGGATCGAGACAGGGGAAAAGAAAATCGAGGAAAATGATAAGAAAGTGGAAACTTATAATTCCAGGGTCGACCAAATCCCGGTGGCACCCACCGGTATTGAAAGGGCTTGATTCCAAAAATTTTGTCCAGAAACCTTTCCCCTCGAGTGCGGCTCCGAAGCCAATCCCCAAAAAGTTCCATATGCCCGAGATCCTGAAATATAACGGGACAACAGATCCAAATGAGCACGTCCCTTGTACACATGCGCCATTAAGGGAAATAATTTGGAAGACGACGAGATCGAGTCCGTGTTGCTGAAGAAGTTTGGGGAGAATATGTCGAAGGGTGCTATGATATGGTACCATAACTTACCGCCTAACTATATTGATTCATTTGCTATGCTTGCGGATGCTTTCGTAAAGGCACACGCCGGAGCCATTAAGGTCGCTACTAGAAAGTCGGGCCTCTTCAAAGTAAGGTAGAAAGACAACGAAATGCTCAGGGAGTTCGTATCTCGATTCCAAATTGAGCGAATGGATTTGCCACCGATTACCGACGATTGGGCTGTTCAAGCTTTTACTTAAGAGCTCAATGCTCGAAGTTTCGTAGCTTCACAACAGTTAAAACAGAATTTGATCGAATATCCAGCTGTCACTTGGGCCGATGTACATAATCGATATCAGTCAAAGATCAGGGTCGAGGATGATCAATTGGGGGCTCCAATCGGGTCGATTTATCCTAGAAGGCCTGTGGACATAGTTAAAAAGGGCGTCGATCGGGAACTGCGGTCGAACAAAGACCGATATCAACCATACGGTAGAGATCGGAGAAATAACGGGACCTGGCGCAACCCCATTCGGAAAGATAGAAGGAATGATTGGGGGTAGAGTTCCAGGGGGCTCATGAGCAAAAGTGGTTTCGATAGGGATGTCGGGACCAAAGAATCACCTCGATTATCGGAATATAATTTCAACGTGGATGCTTCCGCCATAGTATCAGCCATTGAATGTATCAAAGATACCAGATGGCCTCGACCTATGCAGACCGATCCGGCCCAGAGAAATCCAAACCAAATATGCAAGTACCATGGTACCCATGGCCATAAAACAGAAGATTGCAGGCTGTGAGCACGTGATTTTTGCCTCGCATGAATTACTCCTACAGAATTCCCAAAATTAGAATTTTTCTTTTAATTATTTTGTTTTTTTAGGAATTATTGTATAATTTTTCTTGTTTGTTTGCATTTTTGTATGCTTGTTTAATTTTTATTTAACCCCTAAAAATACAAAAATACATTGCATTTGCATTTAGGATCCAATTTTATATTTTAGGATAATTAGTTAATTAATGTTACAAAAATGAAAGAAAATAACAAAAATAGTTCATTTTGCATTTTAACTTTTTAATTTTCGAATTTTTTATAGTTTTCTTTTAATTTAGGACTTAATTAATTTTTGAGAAGCAATTAGTTTATTAATTTCGTTTTAGAATTAAATCAGATTTTATTTTTAATTTGTAATTAACAAAATTTGAAAATGAAAAAAAAAGAGAAAGAAGGAAAAGGTTTTTAATAAAAAGAAACAATTTTTCTTTGGGCCAGCCCACCTGCAGACCCGGCCAAATCCTCCAAAACCGGCCCAGACCCGTGCTTTTACCCGGTCCAGAGTCCCCCA